TGGCCTTTCAGTGTTTAAAGGGGTCCTACAGGAAAGATGGGGACTGGCTTTTTATCAGGGCCTGTTGCAACAGGACAAGGGGTGAGGATTTTAAACTAAAAGAGGGAGATTTAGACTAGATCTAAGGAATAAATTTTTTACACTGAGGTTGGTGAGACACTGGCACATGCTGTCCAGAGAGGTGGTTGATCCATGGGACCATTCCAGGTGAGGTTGTGGGGGCTCTGAGCAGCCTGCTCTAGCTGCAGATGTCCCTGCTCAGTGCAGGGGGTTGGACTAGGTGACCTTTAAAAGTCCTTTCAGCCCACAACATTCTGTAATTCTCCAGGCAGAGGTAGCTCATGAGGAAGAGCCACGTTTTATTGTACACACATACTTTACACCTACAGCAGGTTACTTTGACTTGAAGGGCCCATCCTCTTGACACTGCAGTTGGGTGATGCTTAGCACGCTTGCAGACCATCTGATTTTGAGCTCAGGAGACACCCTGCCCATCTCATTGAGGCTTAACCTGAAGCCAGTAACACGTTTGCACTCCTGTGCTCAATGCACCTGTAAAGAGGCAGAGCTCATGACTCTGGCTGGACCAATAAACTCCATCCAAAAGATGTGGCCCATGGTGCTTCGTGTGAGCCTGTAAGGCACTGTTGCACTAAAACTCTCTGAAAAACTGGTTATTCAGGGCTGCAGCTTCAGCCTTGCCTCTCAGTAGCACTTTATGCCCTGGCTGTCATAAACACTGATATAAATGAGCCAAAGATCAAGCCTCGTATGCACACTTGGAATTCCCTCCTGTGAGCAGTGGATTTTATACCACAGCCTGCTTTTGGGAAGCTGGCTGCTTAGTTTCCCATCCTCCTTCTCCAGCAGTAGCTGTAGTTTCTTTAGGTGGTGTGAGGATCACCTCTGCACCTCGTAGTTGCCACCTCTAGAGACCTAATTTTGGTTTTTTTCCTTTCATTTCTGCACTGTTATTTGTCCATCCAGCCCCTCCTACCTGGCAGGGAGCCCTGTGAAAAGGTCATCATCTTGTTCCCTTTCAAACCTCACCTTTAAACTCCTTCCTCCTGATGCCTGCAAAGAGAGGAGACAGCAGTGAGGGTGCTGAGATCCCTCTGATTGTCTCCCTGAGATGCTCAGGACAGATACACAACCAAGTTATTGCACCTTAGCAATTCTTATGCATCTGCAGCTCCAGGAGAGCTCCCGACGTGCACGATTTACCTCTGGCAGCTGGGGAGAGATGTCACTTGCTCTCCACTGCAATGAAAACAGTTTCATCTGGTTGCCTTGCCTCCTCTTTGCCACGTGTAGAGGAGCTGGAGAGCAGGATGTCACTGCAGCATCTCATAAGCAATACCCCATCCTCGTGGGATCATATGCCTGGTGCTTCTGCAGAGACTGTGCATCCCTGAAATGGGAACCAGGGATTTTGTTCTGTGCCTGCCAGCACCCAGAAGGGAACTTCTGTTGCACACAAGGCTCCCATTCACAAATGTGGCTTCTGAAGTAGTGAAACCTCCTCACACTTTCTAATTGCCTTTATACTTTCCAACCATGGCCCAAACAAAATGCAGAAGGCTCTGTCTGAAAGATTTTTACTTTGGTTGACCAAGAACAGAAGCAGATTTCCCAGAGAGGTTGTGCAGCTTCCATCCCTGGAGTTTCCAAGGGTATCCAAAAGGGATCTGGACATGATTCCAAGCAAGCAGCTCTAGGTGGCCCTGCTTGAGCAGAGGGTTGGATCAGATGACCTCCAGAGGTCCCATCCAACCTCAGCCATCCTGTGATTCTATAAAATGGGAAGCCAAGTTCTGGCAAGATAGATTATGAGGTTGTTGATATTATAAATGAGAGTCAGTTGTGGCTTTTTCAAACGAAACATTTTTGTCTGTTTGTTTTTTAAATGGAAAACCTCCTCTCATCAAAATTGATGTGGCTTTTAGGAGTGGATGAACCATTTTGAGAGCTGTAACATCTCCAGTCGAAACACAAAGCCCACAAAAGGCAGATCATTTAATAGCTTTTCATTAACACCACCCCACCAAGGGACTCTGTTCACACCAGGGACTTGAACCTCCTTCTTCCACAGTGGAGAGGAGAGCCTGGAGCACAAACCTACTGGCACTGGGATGTTGAGTTAGAAACCCCTGGTCTCCTTTCTCATTAATTCTTCAGGAATACAGTTTTAAAAAGATTTATCTTCAAACTGACAGGAAATGGGAATGTTTTGGACACCTTATGAATTTTCAAAGGCTGAAGATACCATTTGCAAGGCTCTTCTTCCAGAAGCTCTGTCTTTTCTGATATTGGCACTCACATTTTGTGTCTTCAACCTGCTGTTGGTGGAGAAACTGAGACCTAGGGAGAGCACAAGAACTGGCTGTGGTTTCACTGGAGGTCTGTGGCAGGGCTGGGATTTCACCTTGTAACATGGAAGTCTCACTTTAATACTTCATATTATTATCATAATGTTTTCTGCCTGTAAACCTCAGATTAAGAACTAAACTTTTGAGGCACTTCTGCAAATTTTATGCTCATTTTCAGCATAGCAAATAATCTGGTGAGTAGCAGTATTTAGAGATGTTGTTTACTCTGAGGTGAGACATCAGCCACAACTCGAGCCCAAATTGTGGTGTGGTAGAAGCTCTGTCTTCTAAGCTGGTACTTTTTCCACCTCCCAGACATCTAGTAGAGAACATGAGAGTTATCAGATGGGTTTGTGGTATCAAACCATGTCTTGTGCATCAAAAAGTGACTTGAGCAGCAGGAGTTCATAGAAAAACTCTGGGAAGCAAGTTTCCCTAAATCCAGGGACTTTTTCATAGAAACACAGAATCATGGAAGGGTTTGGGTTGGAAGAGACCTTAAAGATGATTTAGTTCCATGGGCAGGGACACCTCCCACTAAACCAGGTTGCTCAAAGCCCCATTCAACCTGCTGTTGAACGTTGCCAGGGACAGGGCATCTACCACCTCTCCTGGCAACTTGGGCCAGAGTCTCACCTCACCACCTTCATAGTGAAGAACTTCCTAATTTCTAATCTAATTCTACTCCTTTTTGTTATGTTTTCATCCTAGTGATGCTGTATCCTTGTGCTTCCCTCTACCTCAGTTTCTACATCTGCTGCAGCATTAAGACAACTTTTGAAAGTATTCTTGAGAGAAGTGAGAATTAGAAAGAAAGTCAAACAGTCGTGAGGAAACTCACTTAAAAAGAAGAACTAGGAGAAATACTGTAAAATTAAGCTGAAAGAATCACCCCTTAGTTCACTGAGAATAAGCAAAGAATCAAAACCACCATGAAAGCCAAAGGCATCTCCAAACACAGAGGAGGAGTTCTGAGCAGGAAATTAGAAGCAGAAAAGTTCAGATAATTGGATCCATTGTAATGAAGAAGAAATAACAGATATTACATAACACCTAAAAGAAAAAAAAAAAAAGTTATAAAAAAAAAAAGCCCTGAACAGTCATGTCCTTGATTTGTTTGCACAAGATCTCTTCTGATCCCAGTATGAACCCTGGTGAAGGGAAATGCAAACAATGACCATGCAGAAAGAGCCTGAGAAACAACAACCCATCAAAACTAAGGTTAACTGGTTTTTGGAGGAGCTGGTAACGTGAACAAAGGCACCAGAGCCTTTGTGGAGTTCAGATCTGGTGGAAAGGCAAATTGCAGGGCCAAGTTTTAGTGTCCAAGTCCACCTGAAGAAGTGACTCAAGCTGCTGATTTCAGTGCAAGCCAGGTCTGTGGTTAGGGAGATGTTCAGCTGCCTCAACTGTCAGAAATTCCTGGAGGTGATGCTTGACTAATTTCATGAATCACAGCCACATAATTGATTTGATCCTATTTGTAGAAGTTTTATTATTCCTCTGTGCAAAGAACCCCAACGTTGGAAATGTTTGCAAAGCTCTTGAGTTTCACTGGTGTAATTCTTCTAAGAAGTGAGTTTTGACTACTGTTCATTCCTTCTGGTTTATTGTCCCAGCTTTCCAGTTGGGGATGTCAGGCAGTTTTGTGTGATAAATGACAGCAAAGGAAAGCCACAGGGATGTGATTTGCATGAGGTGGAGAGCATAGAGACTGGTCATCAGGATGGGTGCTGTTGGATGGGTTCCTCCTTTGTTATTCCTGATGAAATCCCATCAGTGGCCTTTTAGACTGTGAGCCTTTTAGGGTAAGGCTTATCCTGGTCAGATTGTTGGTCTCTCCTCCTTTTGTGTATTTAATATCTGTACAACCTGTGGCCAGCATGGGTTTGAGGTCCAGCTGGGACAGGAAGCAGAGATGTCTTACAAAGTGAGAAATGCCTTGTGCTGGACCTCATTGGTGAGCTTCACAGGTTTGACAGTTTTGACTGAAGCAGAAAGACATCCTGGTGCTAATTAAGGCTCTTCTGAGCCAGTTGGAAGCCCGAGGCACTCAGCTGGCTGAAGAATCCAGGAAATCTTCCTGCCTTTGAGTATACACGTTAAAACAGGTCATACAGGTTGTCAGTGTCTGGTTTTTCTCCCCTCATAGCCAAATCTTGAAGTCTTTGGCTCTCAAACAAGAGTGCAGGAGGTTTCTCAGGAATCACATTCAATCAGAGTTTATCTTGTAGGCAAGGTCATGGTTTTGAGGGCTGCATTCACTTCCCAGACCTCTGACCTTACCTGCAGATTGAGCATTTTATCTTGGCTCCTCACAAGTGAAGTAAGACATAAATATTTCACTGCTCTGCTTGGATGAAAAATTTTCCAGGAACAAAGGCAATATGACAATAACACTCCCAAGCAATATTGGTGCAGTGCCAAAGCCCAAAGGTCTGAACTTTACGACCCAACTGGTCCCTCCCCTATATATGTTCAGTGTAACATAAACACCTCATAACAGAGAAAAACGATGAGAGTTTGAGTCTCACAGAAGTGCTCTGGTGTTTGGATCAACAAAAGGCAGACAGTTGTTTAACAGCAAGCTGAACGTTTCTTTTCAAGTCATCCTTTTCTCTTTTCTTCCAGGGAATGTGACCAGGAATTGTACAAGCCAGGGCTGGACAGACGTGTACCCTGCACCCTATGCCTTAGCCTGTGGATATGATTCCAACAGCACTCCAGGGGAAGAGGTTTGTAAACCTGGATGGGTAGACGTCAAGACTGAACCAGGGATCAACATCAGAATCACATGATCATCCCATGCCCAATTTTTTTTCCATTCCCATTCTGATTCCTCCAGAAGGAAGGATCCTCTTGAGGATCCCTGGAAGCAGAGATCAAGTGTCTGGTCAGAGAGATGATCCTCTCTTTGATTTCCAGGAGAGTGGCAGAAAATCAGCACTTGAGAAAATGAGACCAGTGCCTCTGTGCTACCCACACACAACTCCAGGTGCTTAATTTTCCACGTTCAACTTTGCAACAAGCCTGCCACATTTTTATTTATCCTCTGATAGATATGGTGATTGCAGTATTTCTAGGTCAACTTAAGCATCAAAAGGTTAAAAGGGATGAAACAGTATAAACCAATTGCCATCAGTGCTGCTCTGCTGCTGTCAACCAGCTAAAGCTCTAGAAAACTGGGGAGCACACAAACTTCTTGGGAATGTTGCTGAATATTGTAAGGAAATTACAAAATACTGGGACAGGATGCCCAGGGAAGTTGTGGATGCTCCATCCCTGAAGGTGTTCAAGGCCAGGTTGGATGGGGCTTGGAGCAACCTGCTCTCGTTCAAGTTCAAAAGTTCAGTATGAGAGTGATAGACCACTGGAACAGGCTGCCCAGAGAGGTGGTGGAGGCCCCATCCCTGGGGACATTCAAGATCAGGTTGCATGAGGTTCTGAGTAGCTTGATCTAGTTGGAGATGTCCCTGCTTATGGCAGGGGGTTGGACTAGATGACCCTTGGAGGCCCTTCCAGCCCAGACATTCTATGAGAAAAGAGGATAACAAATGTTGTTAGAAGCAAGGTTTACCTCACCAAACTAAAAGTTCTTCTGATCTAAACTAGTCACCCGTAGCTGTCCCATAGTCAACAAGAAAAAGTTTATGCTAGAAGAGAATTCTATTTCACAGCAACCCTATGTTTACATTAAACCTCTGTGCCCATGTGGGTTTTTTTCCTGTTGTATGACATCTGTCCATGTTTGTGAGCATTGGACACAGGAATCTCAAGAATGAATAAATATACATGGTCTTTCAAGGCCAACCACCACCTCACATCCTCAAGTGTCCCCTTTCTTGGGTTGAGCTGCGTGGCACTGGTTGTGTGTTGAGAAACCCACTGTCACAGGTCTGCTCTGGGAACGTCCTCCATGGAGAGCTCCAGTTTGTCTTCCAGCTCCAAAGGGGATTTGGGAATTCCTGGGACAGGCTTTGGTGACCTGATGGGCTGCAACGTTGCCAGAGTGCCACGTTACCAAGAGAACATGTCTTGTGTGCTTTTAATTCTTTCTTAATTATTTTCTCTCAATTTCCATGGGTTTTGTCATGTTGTTTAAGTCTCATTTGTGTGGAAGGTGGCTGAGGATGGTCAACACGCAGTACTAGGCTGTGAAGAAGAATTTTGTTGTTCTTGAATTGGCTGTCAGTTTGGGAGAGAAGAACTGAAAGGAACAGGGGGAAACAAAGAGAACAACAGACTGTATGGGCCATGAGGTCCAGAACAGACTGATAACTTTCCATGCTTAAAATACTTCACACACTTTTTAACATGAACCCATCTCAAGTCCAAAACAACAGGAAAAACTATGAAAAGATAAATAAGGGCTGTGTGTAAGATTTCAGTTGTGAATTCCAGCAATTTTGGAGCAGAGGATGCAGGTCTCCTAGTTGTGCACCTGAGATCTTTGCAGTGATGATGAGGCCTCCTCCAACCTGACCTTTAGAAACTATGTATTAGCAAACAAGGGGTTGTTCTGCTGGCCCGTTGTCAGATGTGATGCACAGCTTCTCCCTTGCATGCCTCCATCTGGTCAGGGAGAGGCCACCTCAGGAGACCCCATAGACAGACACCTCCTGAGCTCAGTTCACCCCACATTTCTCTCCAAAGGGACTTCTTCACATTTACTCTAAAGGGAGCCCTAGATGACTTCAAGCTAGGTGACATAAACCCAAAACATATTTGGGTGCAGGGCTGCTGAAAGACTTGATATCAGTATTTCTGTTCTCTCTCTTTTACAAATATAAGCATTTCACATTCCAATCTCACTTACCATGGGACATATGTAGAAGTTACTGAACAGAAGCCAAGGAAGCTAATTCTGAGCTAATCTCAGTTTAGCATCTACCTTAACTAATTGTTCTTATCGTGTTCCTGTGAAATTATGCAGAGGCTATTAGAAGTCAGAGAGAGAATGATGCTACTGCCTGATTTTATTCAGTAAATCAGTCTAGATCTACAGCTAGATGCATTTCCTTCACTTTTCTAAATCCCACTTTTTTCTTGACATGCATTTCCTTCACTTCTCTAAGTCCCACTTTTTTCTAAGAACAATATTTTAGTAATCTGAGCTCTGAGTCAAATTCCAATTCCAGTTATGATCTTGGGTCAAATTCTTTGCTTTGATATCTATAAAATAGGAAGTGATTTTTATTAGCAAGTGTAAATGAAGAGTAAGAAATCATTATGTGCTGTTTCCAGAAGAGAGATGACCCCCCACATGCCACATTAAGGCTGAATACAGAACCATCTCTCTCTACACAAGGATTGGTCATCATAAAATATAAAGGACAGGAATAGCTTCTTGAATAACACCAAGATCTTTCTGTGCTTAACTTGTCCCTGTGAATAACTCTAAGAAGCAAAAGATCTATGCCTGCATTCACAGTGGGAGTTGACATCCTCCACCCAACCACCCAAATCTCCCATGATATCTCTCAATGTCCTTTCTGCCATTTCTCTGCTCTCTTAAATGTGGTGTGGGACAACCTCTTCCTCAGACTCAGTCCCCTACCACAAGCTCTCTTCTTCTTCTGGCCAAGTCTTTCCTTGAACATTTCTGCTCTTGTGCCATTAAAAAGGAAACTAGATAATGACAGTGGGGTTGTGAAGTGCTGGGGTTGAACCCCCAGCCCTGAATGAGGGTTGGCATAGGGATGATGGCCACAGCCAGGCAAGAAAGCCCCTCCTGAGTGATTATCACCCAGGGTCTGGCCAGCCTTGGGTGGGGACTGATGAGGAGATCACCACCAGGTGCTTCCACCTTCCACATGAACTTGGGGTTGGGGCAAGAAGTCACCTCTAGAAGAGCTGACTCTGCTGGCAGGGAGGTTGGGAGGTTTCTGGCTATGGGAACAACTCCACGACTCTTCATGGCCAGTGGAGTTCCCAGGACAGCAGGACCAGCACATGAAGCTGTCTCTGAGCCCCTGCTCTATCCCTGGGCTCCTGGCCTGGCTGCTCCCATCTCCCCTGGCTTGGCTCCTCTCCTGGCTGCTCCCTTCTCCATGTCCCCTGTGGTGGGTGAGTGCAGGGACTTGTTCCTCCTCTGGCTGGCTGGCACTTTGGGTCTCTGGGGTGGGATGTGGGAGCAGAGGGAGGAGTTTGGCTGCTGCTCTGCCTGTTAGTGGTAAGATCTATTCTATATTGGACAAGTGGTCAGCAGAAGAGGTAGAAAAGTGGAACCTCCACCATTCCACACTGCTGTGCAAATTCCTCCATCCAGTGCAGATGAGCAGGACTTGGGTAGGATCACATCATACTGGGTGACTCCATCACCATAGCAGCCCCCTGGCATCATATGGGCAAGATCAGGTAGCCTAAGAAGGAATATAGATATGATCAGTGCAACCTTTGTACTCTCTGAAAGCTCTGTCTTATTTTTACACCCCTCCAAGCTGGCACGTACAAATGCTAGAGGGTTACTACTCATCTCAGCCTCACTGGTTCTGTAAAGGACCTGGTACTTGTCAAGGTCCATGAAAATGGCATATAAAAATGTCAACCCTCACCATTTATTAAAGAGTGTTTTCCCAGACAAGGTTTGGTTTAGATTTTCTGTCTAAACTGCTCTTTGTAAGCCCAGTTGTTTGGTTTTTTATGGCAAATTGTGACAAGGAGGGCAGAGGAGGGTCAATCAAGGGCTGGAAAAATAGTATTTTCCACAACTTGAGTCAGATTCTCATAAAAACTTGGATTTTTCATTGATAGAACAAATGTCCAAATACCAACCGAATTTTTGTTCTTTTATAAAGCTGAAAATCAAAATATATTGATTTAGAGTGTTGCTGGAGAACCTTAGGAGGACTGGAGTTTTGTTGCCTTACTTCCCTACTTTATTTAGACCACAATTCCAGGTTGGATTTAAGTCCTGTGGTGCCCCATGCTCAGAAATTCCCTCTGTGTCCTCTCAGAGAGAAAAGCCATGAGCTAATTTCCAACTCAAGGTGTATCTCTGAATTAACATAGCTGTGATTTCAGTGAGAACATTTTAACTGTTCACTTCCCAAAGCACAACATCTCACTTCCAAAAACCCAAACCAATTTCCAGACCAGCTCTGTTCTCAAATTTTCTCCATAAGATGAAGCCCATCACACCCACCACCTCAGAGCTGATGTGTCAAGTCCACTCTTTAACTGCACAGTGGTCATTCTTGTTCCACAGGGTTATAACCACATCACTGTCTCTGCAAATGTCAAATCAGACTCCTTCCTGCATGCACTGTCCCCTTGTGTAGCTGTAGCTTGGTTTTGGAGTGATCCAAGCTCTACTGCAGCTAGATACGTTCTTGGTCACACACTTTATTGGATGTGATTTTAAAGAGTTGGAAATTATTGAAGAGAATGGAATAGGGTGATCCCCTTGTCTCACCAAGCAAGCGAGTGAAAGCTCAGGGATGGTGTATTTAGGAATGTGTGTTGGGAGCTCTTTGAAAGACCTGGTTTTGTTTCTCTCCTTCCCATCAGCAAACAGCATTCTATGGCACAGTGAAGACAGGCTACACCATTGGACACACCCTGTCACTCATTGCCCTCACGGCTGCTATGATCATTCTCTGTCTCTTCAGGTAAGAACAGGAGCAAAAAAAATAAAGGCATCAGTAAGGGGATGGCTCCAAGGATGTTGGGGATGTTGAGGTTGTAGCCTAGGAGTGTTGTAGGTGGATGGAAAATGCTTCTGTCGAGTCTCAGATGAACAAAGGAGGACAGTTCATCCGTTGTTCAGTGCCCCTGTTTTCTGGTATGTGAGTTGTGGCTTTTGGGTGAGAGTTATAACCCAAATCCAGCTGTCTGAGTGACATTCATCCCACTAAATGTAGATTGTGACATGATGGATCTCTGTACTAGAGGCCATCATCCCCTAATATTCCACAGAGACTTAGTCAGCATGGTATCTATGGATTCTGTGGAATGATGCATGTCTACTAAAGCAGGTATTCAAAATGGGGCAGGTGAATCACAGCCCAAAACTACCTCTTAAGGACTATTTCAGGAACACTTGCTGCTGTAGCTCTATGCCAAGACACCCAGAGCCATTTGAAACATACTGGAGCCTCTGAGATGTGCACCAGGGCAGCAGATATGGTGGAGGACCTTCAGGAGACCCAGGCCCTTATGGACTGATGGGCAGATACTCTATAGCCTATATAGATGCCTAGGTTGCAGCAAATTAATTCATCTTCAGTCTGTGTTGGTTATATTTGATTCAAGCATCTAAATTTGGGTGCTTCCAATGAAGAAATCTGTATATAATATATTTTTTTTGTTAGAAATGTTCTTTATGTATAGGGAGAACAGCAAAAGCAGACTTCTGTGAGATGGAAGAACCTTCTAGATGTGACTCCAGCTCCTCACGCCACCCTCCAGTGGCTTCCCTGAAATGTCTTATGTGGTTATTCATTTTATGATGGTTTGGTCATAAAACCATCCCCTCCAAAGCAAGCTGTAGGAAACAGCACAGGTTCTAGGGTAGCTCACCCCAAGACTGACCTCCCCCTTCAAGGTCTTTCCCCTTCTCAGCACACAGGCTCTCTCCACTCCTCTTGACAAAGGAAGAGTGAATCAGGCACACACACAAGTTGTATCCTCTCAAGGAGGTACAAGGTGCCAGCCAGGCTGGTGAAGCTGTCAAGGCTCACACTTTTAATTTGTGAGAAACAGCAGAATTTGACTTGCCTTCACCTGCCAGCACAGGGGACTCAGCTCCATCCCATTCTCCTGCTCCTGTCAGATGGAGAGCCTGAGCTCTGCCAATGACTCATTAAGAGGTGCTAATTTGCTCATGGTGCTGAGTGAGGTCTGCTGTGGTTCTGGTGACTGTACCCAGTACCCATTTCCAGAGTATCAGGCTTTTCACTTGAGCTGATGTAACCTCTCACTTGGAAAATAAATTCTGATCAGATAGGTTTTTTTATTTTATCTTTGATATTAGTGGGCCAGGAGCAGGAAAAAAATGGTGTTGTCCTCGAGATCATTAGCAAATAGTCATTTTTAAGTGAAAATATAGTTCATATTGCTCCAGAAAGCCTGGGAGATGTGTTAATTTTGGCAACAGCTACGAAGAATTCATTTCTCTTCCTGAAGAAACGTTTAATTTTGAAAAGAATTGCTTCAGCACAAACGTTCTGTAGGAAACAGACCTCTAGCATGAGTACAGTTTGCTGTCAAAAACGTTTCTTTCCCTGTGAAGAGCAGTGTAAGGACCTGTTTTCTCTCATTCTGTATTCTGAGGTGTTTTTTTTTCTGAGAACTGGAAGGCAACACTGCTGCAGACGTATGGATTGCCACGTTTCATGGATTTTAAAAGGCTTAAATGGATTTGTGGAGATCTACATCAGAACATAGTCTGTCTCAGGGTTTCTAATGTTTAATTGTAAGTCTGGATCTTGGCAGAAGGAACGTTGTAAATAGAATAAATAAATTTCGAGAAGCCTTGTGACTCAGAAATGTTGTTCCATCTCTTCCTAACAGGAAACTACATTGTACTCGAAATTATATCCATATGCACCTCTTCATGTCCTTCATAATGAGAGCCATTGCAGTCTTCATAAAAGATGTCATCCTGTTTGAAAGTGGAGAATCAGAACACTGCTTTGTGAGCTCAGTAAGTAGCCGTGTGCCTTGAAGTTTCTACCATATTCTGTTGCCCTCATTAAAAAAATAGACCAAAAATTACATTTTTGTGAGGCAGTACTTGGAAAGATTCTTTTTTTCTCATTTGAAACAAAACCCATGATTGCTGCAGTGCAATTTGTATGGAAAAGGCATAAAATAAATTGGCAGGGTCAAATGTTTGTGGGCATTGGGTCCTTCCAATGTCAAACCCAAAACTGGGGCTCTACAAGATTTTGGAGCTCTTGTCAGTCCTGTCTCCATCTCTCATGTTCATTTCTTGGATATTGTGGTCCAAGGAGACTTGCAGACCTGTGTTTAGGGATTCAATAAAACCTTTCCCTTCAGTGAGGGTGGGAGTCAGATCCAGATTGACTTTATCTGTGGGGTGAGTAACTATATACGAGCTGTATGTGTAAAATGCAACCATAGTCAGTCAAGCTCTGATTAATCTATTCCCTGGTGTCTGGAGAGCTGTTAACCTCGTTTGGAATAAGGCACCTGCTTTTTGGATGTCTCTCTTGGCTCCAGTGATTGCAGTGATCAGATCTCTGCAGGAGTTTAGGCATGAAATCTATGTGTAGACATCGCTGTCTATATTTCATCAGGACCTGTATCTCCTGCTAGCTGTCTGCAACAGTGAGATTTCCCCACTGGGATGATAAATGAGGGGAATAAAAGAGCTGGGATCATTTTTTTTCACTTTCAAACTCAGTATTATCAGCTGGAGCAAACATTAAGGAAGGAGAAGAGCTGTTTATCTAAAGGCCATGTTTACGTAAGAGGACACTTCATGAATAAATTTAGACAGGAAATTGAAAATATCTAAATAAAGAGTTGTTATCAGAAGTCATCCAAAAAAAAACCGAAAGGGAACCCTCCATAATAAATTATTAACATTAAATGAGCTGCTTGCTGGTAATAGCAGGGGACTGGGCACAGCAGTCCAGCAGATCCCTTCTAGACCTGCATTTTTATGTCATACAGCACCAGAATGAGACTCTCTTTTTCCTTCCACCCACAAAATTTCTTCCTTGCCTTCTAGCTTTTCTATCTCTTTACCCCAATTCCTGCCCCTGCTGTTATAATGACCTCTCTGCAATGCAAAGCAATGGGGTTTCATTGTGAAGGTCCACGAGTGGTTAGAATGCCATCTAAACTGGAATAAGCAGTTGCCTGGTGTCTGCTGCCACAGATTCCTGCCAATGTTCATTGGCAGAGGAGCCAAGAACCCAATGAGCCATGGAGTTTGAACTAACCTCTCACCCCTGGGGGAGTTTGCACTGGGTCGTGACTGAGGCATGACTGCAGAAAGCTTTGTGAGATGTGTTTGCTTCAACCATCCCTCCAGAAACACCTCCCTGTATAAACACAGAGCTTTGTCCTGCAGAATCCACAGCTCCTGGAAGCCAGTGTGCCTTCAGGCAGACCCATGCCTGTCCCCATTGTGTCTTTCTCCCCATCAGAGGATTTTCATGTCAAATGCCAGCTCAGGGTGCGTGGCTGAATGATGCACAAAGGTTATCAAAATAGGTGGCCCAAATCTGTCTCTGCTGCACTAGGCTGAGTGTACCCCTTGTAAAATCTGCACCTGTCTTCACCCAACGTTTTGGATGGTTTAGGTCATAGGGAGAAAAAAAAGCTGCATGAAATACAGTCAGAATGCTGCTCCTAATACTCTTCTGTTTGCAGGACTAGTTGTAAGCCTCGTTGTGTTTAGCTGCGTTAGGTTGGCTTGAGATTTTGTTTGTAGTTTGAACTTGCAGGATGAAGTTTTGACCTGGGAGACCTGGGTACTGGTTCATACACCCAGGTCCTAATATACTATTTAGTGAAGGTTTTGTGTATAAGGACTAGATGTGGCCTTGGGCTTGTTCAGACTGAGGGGAGATTTGGACCAACAGTTCCATTTACTGAATGCTCTCACCACTGCCCCACTTTAGAAGAGGGCAAAACCAAAGCAGTGTTTTATTAGAAGAGAAATTCCTGCACTTAGTTCCTTTAAGGAAAAAAAAGGATAAAGGCACACCCCTTCCAGAACATCAGAACAGACTCAGGGCTATAAACCCCAAAAGAGCAGAGACTTTTCCCAGCAGTGCTGGTGAAGGGACCACATTCCTGAAGCTGCAATTAATTCTTGCAGTAAGAAGACTTAAAATTTTGGTTTATGCACCAGCCACACAGATATTTTAAGCTCTCCACCAACAACTGTGTCAATGCTCCAGTCAAGTAGGAACTCCACTACACGTAGGTGTATTTGTAATTGAAAAAAACCTTCTTCATAGGCCTTGCAGGAATAACATTTTTACTTCATTTTATTTAGTTTGGGAAGCCTCAGTTGAGGTCTTAACTCTGTGCCATTTTAAATTCAACTAGTTCTGGATTACTAATGAGTTTGACATGAAAAATTAAGTTGGTTGGGCGTTTCTGTGGGCCACAGAGCCTGAGAATTTAGCAGTAGGCATTTCAGGGCCAATGCAGCCAAAATACATGTGATGAGCATCACAGGGTCATAATTTTTCTTCAGCATGAGGGTGACAGACCACTGGAATGGGTTGCCCAGACAGGTGCTGGAGGCCCCATCCCTGGGGACACTCAAGATCAGGCTGGATGAAGCTTTGAGTAGCTTGATCTAGTTGGAGATGTCCCTGCTTATGGCAGGGGGTTGGACTGGATGCCCTTTGGAGGTCCCTTCCAGCCCAGACATTCTGTGATTCTATGTGAGCCAGAACATGCACCATGCATAGGATGTTGTTTACAGAGTGATGTGTAGCACCTGTAGCCTCCTTGAATTCCTTGCTCCTCCTTTCTTGATAAACCCACTCCTGGGGGAAAGAAGACTCTTGCTTCTAGGATGAGAAATTCAGCTGGTTTTCATGGGGCAGAAACTCTCAGTTGCAAAGCAAGACGTTTTCATAACCAAAAGTAGCAGGCTTAAGTCATCATAAGATCACTTAAAGAGAGGAGATTTAGATTAGAAATTAGGAAGGTCTTCACGATGAAGGTGGTGAGACACTGGCCCAGTAGCAGGTTTAAGTCATAAGATCACTTAAAGAGAGTAGATTTAGATTAGAAATTAGGAAGAAGTTCTTCACTTTGAGGGTGGTGAGACACTGGCACAGGTTGCCCAGGGAAGCTGTGGATGCTCCATCCCTGGAGGTGTTCAAGGCCAGGCTGGATGGGGCTTGGAGCAACCTGCTCTAGTGGGAGGTGTCCCTGCCCATGGCAGGGGATTGGAACTTTTTTGTCTTTAAGGTCCCTTCCAACCCAAACCACTCTCTGTTTCTATCATCATTGATCCCACAGCCAGCACAAGGTCTACTGTTGGATTTTTCCAGTGGCAAAGAAAGCACTGTAAAACCTTGAATTTTCTAGAGGGGTGGAAACAGCATTTGAGTCTGATGGTCACATATCCACACAGAATATTGCCCAAGGTACCAACAGTCAGTAGTTGACCCAGACCACTTGCTCTCTGATGCCTCCAGTCACAGAGCATGTCTATAATTATGTATGACTGAATCATCCTCTTGGCTTAAATTGCTTAAAAATAGGCATGTACCCCAGTGTGTTAGTCAATCTGGGCTTTGAGCAGTCAGATGTAGAGATGATCAGGCTAGGAGAGGTCTGTGAAGTCACCCACTCCCACTTCTTCACTAACTACCCCTTTTGATTTGTTCAGAACACGTTCTCTCTGGGTAATCAGTCATTTGTGATGGAAAACTCTCTGCACGTGGCTCTGTTGAATCCAACAATTACTCAAATTGCATCACTTGCCAGCCTGTATGTGCCTGAATTCTTCTGCCTTGTTTTTCTACCAGACTCAAGAGGCCTCCTTACAAGTTTTAATTTTTCATAGCAGTTTTCTTGCATCTTGGCATCCCCACAGGTCATCTTCCCCTTTCCTTCACCCTCTGGACAACACCCTGTGAAACACAGTAGCCAGAATAGCAAACCTGGTAGAAGTATTGAACTGGACACTTCAAAAACCCACCCACAAAAAAAAAAACTGAATTAAATGACAATTGGATAGGTTTGGGTATAGTTTAATTACTGTAATATCTCAATAGCATAATGATGAACCACTGACATTTCCAGCCTAGCTGAAGACAAAGCCAACAGTTTGATATAAATAAAGATCAGGTTCTACAGACTGAATTCAGGGTGACTTTTTCTGAGCTCCACAAACACACTTTTGTTGAGGATTCAGCCAAGGGAGATCTTTTTCTTTCTGAAATCAAATTCCAACAAATTTCTTTGCAAAGAAGGATGGGACTTACAGCAGTTGGGAACAGACACACATATCTCATCTTTTCAGTGTGAAAGATTGGGGTTTTTCATGTGAGCTTCCTCAGGAAGGGCCAACTAGTCCTGCAACAGAGGGAGAGCTTGATGGGAGCTCTGGCTGGGCTTCCTCCTTGACAGCTGGCCACAGGTCAAGGATGGATGAAGTGATCCAATTCTCCAAAGAGACAGTATTAAATTCTGGGTTATGCCCCTTCTGCTCCTTGGACTGCTCATATCAGGCCACCCTTGAGAGGGTCTAGACCATGGAGACAAAGCTTTAACATGGTTTTACACAGTTTTGCTTGGATGAGTTATCTCCTTGCCTTCTCCTTTGCTCCTGGAAACAACCCAGGAGTTAAGGGAGAGGGAACTTTCTTTGCATAACTGACTCACAGTCTGGCACCTAAAAGCAATGCACCTATAGCCAATAATGAAAGCAAATGTGATTAGTGCAGGGAAGGGCATTATTAAAGCTCTGATCACTTCTCTTTAGTTGTTGCCTTGTGGTTGACTTGCCTTGTTACTGAGGATGTGTTCAGAATTGTTGTTGTTCTGCGATGGATGAGCACGAAATAGGGACAGTTTACCAAGATAATTCTATTTTTATGTCTCAGCTCAACTCTGAGTCATCTGCCACAGAGGCTAGACCAGCTAGAGCTAATCACCATCTTAGAAACACTCACAAGATTGCCCCCAGAAATCAAACAA